GGTCGGGGTCCCGGGCGGTCCTGTCTGCCTGCTGGGAGCAGCCTCGCCTTCCCAGGCCCAATCCAGCCTCCTGGAATCTGGCGGCGGGTTATTATTTGAGCCAGGCAGCGCAGCGTTTTTGGGGTGGAAAGAAATCTTCCCGTCTCGGGGTTGAGTTCGCGGGCTGAACTGCGGACGGCGGGAAGCCAGGAGATCCTCTCTGTCCGATTTCATCCTTCGATGCCCCTAATGCCTCCTTCGGAGTCAGGATTCTCAAGCAGAGGTGGCGGACGCACGTGCGAACTCACGCGTCCGTATCCCTTGGGCTTGCCCTGCCGTAAAGGCAGAAAGTCCCCATTCCCAAAGGGATACCCGCCAGAGTTGTGGACCCTTTAGTCCTGTTGGATGTCCCGCAAATCGGAATTCCGAAGGGCGCAGGCGGGAGGACAGTGGCATAAAGTGCGAAGGGTATCCGGCGCTTGTTCAAACGCGCCAAAAAGTGGATTCCGAAGTTCCGATTGACCGTTTTGCCTTCATCGGGACTGGCCGGGCGTTTCTGGGGGAGAGCGACTTGGGCTCAGTTGCAAAAACCAGATTGTCTCAGCACTGCCCATTTTAGGTTGGAAAGATTTTACTCCAGAATCAGGAAAGTTTCTGAGGTATAGGTCGTCCAACTTTTCCTGCCCAGATACGTTCCCTGGCTGGGGATGATAGCGATTGTAGTCTTAACACATCTGGAGGGTTATTGCAAGGTTCGATTTTTATTTTTAATTCCCCCCACCCCCTTTGCTGGAACTTAGGTGAGAAGTAAGAGTTGCCCTAGGTGGGATTGCTCACTCAAAAATCAGGATTACTCACCCCTCCCTTTGCTTTCTGACTGTGGCCAAAAATAATTTGCAGCAGCAGGTAATGGGTGCCCACATTTTGGCAAGAAAGGGGGCACTGGAGATCACGTGGCCAAAAGGAGAATATGTGGTCATTTTAAAAGAATTGGGTGCAAACATCCCTGTTCGTGGGACATTCCCAACTTGTCCAAGTGGGGAAGCAGCTTCTTCTGGGAAGTAGATTATTTTGTACAAGAGAGGGAATCCATTTGGGCTCAAGTTAGAACAGCATTTCTCAACCTTGGCAACTTTAAGACCTGTGGACTTCAACTCCCAGAATTCCCCAGCCAGCCTTGGGGAAAGACCCTTGTCTCTGGAAAGACCCTTGTCTGGAGCCCAGGGAAGTCACAGCTAGTAAATGGAAGAAGGAAAGAGGGATTCCGTGCCTGCTCTTTCTTCAGCGCCCCCCAGATCCTTGGGTCTCCGTTCCAAGAAAATGCCATTCCCCCAAGAGAACGCTGCTCCCCAAGATTCAGAACAGAGCTCCACATGAAAGTGGAGTCGCAATGCTCTGACTTCAGACAAGGCTCCATCCTGTGCCGTGAACGTTAGAAAAAGCCCCAAGGTCTTGAATGGGACGACACATGTACTTAGGGCCACAACTGAGGGTGTTTTCAAAGCGACAGTGGCAAACACATGTGCCATACAAGTCCGCTTCTTGTTCGGAAGCTGGGATGGTCTTGTCCTCCCTCTGGAGAGTTCGCTTGGTAGAAAATCCAGATTGCATAAGGCAGGAAAAGTTGCTTACGGCTTAGTTGCCCCAGGCCAAAGCAGGACTCTGACCCTATGAAATCAGATCACAATCAGATCTGGTGACAATCATCAAGGAATGTTCTGAATTTGGGGAAATTCGGTTTCAGCCCTTGTAACTACGTACATTTACCTTGGTGTGATTCATGCCCTGGTTATTTTTCTGAGATCAAACACAAACACAGATCAGTCTATCAAACACAAATAGACTGCCTGGGTTTTCTTCCCTATGCACACCCTTCTGGATCGCTTTGTATAAGTTGAGGGTGTGTGTGGCCAGCAGGGAGAAGTGGACTCAATGTGCAGAAGTGATGTGTGAGCAAAGCAGAGCAGGAAATCCAAAGTGCAGGGTATCTACCAGCAGTTTAACTAGTAATCTTAGAGAAAAAGGAAGTCATTTTAACAAGCTGCTGGATCTTGTGGATTTAGAATCCGCAAACTTTGCATGTCAATTCTTGTGCAGTAAACCCACATCATTAATGCGCAAGTGGGAAGGGCTGGCAGTTGTAGGTGGACAGAAATTAAAATAATCTAATTAGGACTGTTGAGAACCTGTTTGGTCCAGTAGTTAAAGGGACCAGGCTAGAAACCGGGAGATCGTGAGTTCTAATCCTGCCTTAGGTGTAAAGACAGCTGAGTGACTTTGATCCCGTCCCTCCCACTCAGCCCAAAGCTAATGTGGTGTATTGGGGAAGGGGCTGGATTAGAAGCTGAGTAACAACTGTGAGTTCTAGTCCTGTCATAGGCATGAAGCCAGATGAGTTACGCTCTCTCTGCCTTAGGAAGAGAGTAAAGGCAAACCACTTTCAGCAAGGTTGCCAAAAAGAAAGAAGGTGGAATGGAGTAACTAGGCAGGGGGCAAAGCTGGTTGGCTGGAATTCTGGAGGCACAGTGTAGGCGGCAATAGTTCCCTGCAACGTTTTGAGGCTGGTCTTACATTAAGTTGAAATCTCTCTCCCTTTTTTTAATCCATTAATATAGAGAGTAGACAAATAAGCGCAATAGGTCAGAAACCCTATCTCCACGTTCAGTTGCCAACTTAATGTAAGACCAGCCTCAAAACGTTGCAGGGGACTATTGCTGCCTACACTGTCCCTCCAGAATTCCAGCCAACCAGCTTTGCCCCCTGCCTAGTTATTCCATTCCATCTTCTTTCTTTTTGCTTGGGGGGAGAACAAGCAGAGGCAGTCAAAAATGTGCGCAGGGCAAAAGAGGTTTACGGTCAGTATGGTAAGCAAGTCATCTTCCTTAGCCAGATGACAATATTGGACGGGTAAAGCAAAGCAATGAAGACTGAAATTGCCATGGGAGCCGAATGGAAAGATAGTTCCTTTAGAGAAGGAAGTATTCTCAGTTGGGAAAAGGCACACAGGTTCAGTTTCAAAATGCTTTTTAATAATTCTGAAAACTGGAAAGTCCCAATCAAGTCCCACCTGATGGGGGTGAGGGTTAAAAAATCAGTTGGGTGATCAAAACCCTGCTCCTTTTTAAGCTGCCTGTCAAAAAGGGCCGTGGTTTTGACTGTGCAGTCATGACTGCCATTTTGACTTTTTTGATCACCCCCGTTACAGATGCCTGGATGCCCAGAGAAATGAAATGCCACAAATGTGTCTATCGGCTTTGCAATCCCTCCAAAAGAGAATCTTGGAATTCAGAGGGACCATTTTGATCCTCTCAAAGGGCTCCAGAACTGGGGGTGGGGGGAGAAAATGAAAATCAGACGTCTCCGTTATACACGCAGTGCAACTTCAACTTTATGACATGAACCTTTACCTTCCCTCCCTGCTGCTCCAGTGAATCCTGCCAGGGAAATTGCTCGCTCTCCATGTGTGGTGCAGGGCACATTTAAGGCACAGAATTGGGAAAGAAAAATTCTCTAGATCTTGTGAATGATAGGATGAATCGGAGCCTTTTAGCAAACTTTAGGAAGCGCTCAGAATCCAGTTCCTTGGGACAGAAAAAAGCCACCTTTGAAGGAGGCCAACACTTGGTCCAGCTATTTGAGTCAGTTGGGAGCAAAGTTGTACCATTTTTAAGACCAGGGATCTTTCCTTTCGTATCTGGATCAAGGTTGGAACGGTGTACATCCTTGCCCTTTCCAAAATAGACTCCCTATACACACACAAACATACACACACTTCCTTGATAGAGCTTCATCCGATTTTTCCTTTCCTTTTTTTATTCCCCCCACAATGTTCAACTGCTCAGCCAAAGAGAATGTTTAGACTTTAGACATTCTTGCCAGGAGATACTTTATTTTCAAGAGTCTGTTTGCATCACAGCTCAGTCTTCTTTTTTTTTAAAATGTTTGTGGGGTAATCCAGCTGAATCTTTTGTTTGCAAAGACTAAAACCTTCTCCTTGGCCATGTCCCCACTTGCACCTAACAACAGTGCAAAGATGCCCTGGCTGTATCTTCTCTTCTTCTGGGTCTCCATGACGTTGGCTTCATCCCACGAGTGACACAGGCTGAAGCCTTCCTTAGCTGCTCCAGGGTTAAAGAAGGTTTTTTTCTCCTTTATTCCAGCAAAATGCAAGGGTAGCCTCAGGGTGGGCAAAATCAGTTAGGCATTGCCATCCATTTATCTTGGGGAGTCAAGGAACTTAAGTATTGACAACAGAGAGGATACAGGTGAGAAATTGGCAACAAGATAAGCCAATGTCAATGTTTAGTTTTCTGTCCACTCAAGGATGGGTGGAGAGCCCTTTAACTCAATCATGGGGAAAGGCCCTTCAAGGGATTTTTACTTGCCTCCTTAAGTGTGTGTGGTTGAGAAGTGCTCCTTGCTTGTTAAGTATGATTTAGTATATTTCTAAATTCTCTTTCCATCACTGAAGTCCTGCTTCTAGTTGTACAACAGCCCAAAACAACCCTCCCAAATGCTCCCCTCAAAACAGGGCAGACCTCCCCCCTCAAAAATAGTAGGCTCCGTCCATTTTGCAACACCGTTCCCCTCCCCTCCCCTCACACACACACACACACATTTCCCTGCAACCCCAGCTGCCCAAAGATTCTGCTTCCAGACAGCATGGACTTTGGGGATAATGAACACAGATTATGACAATGCATAGGATCATAGTAGAGTTGGAGGCAACCCAAGGATCATCTAGCCCAGTGGTTCTCAACCGAGAAACACTTCCTGCATGACCCCCTGGGAGGGGGCCATTTTAACATCAAGGCTATTCCAGGGAGAGGGGCTACAGCTTGCAGATTCACATCCCCTTAACATCTTGTGGGAAGACAGATTCTACCTGGAGCAGAAACCCCCCAAAGTAGCAAGGATGAATAAGTAGCACTCTGAGTTGGATCTGGAAGCCGAATGGTAACCAACAGAGCCCTCGCCATCTCATTGTTACCCTGTTGTAACAACTCTCACCCCTCAGCAAGCAGACAGCTGCATTCTGGGCCAGCTGTGGCTTGCAAATGGTCTTCAAGGGCAGCCCCATGTAGAGCATGATCAAGGCATGAGTTGTCCATCCAGGTCATAGGTGACCAGTGGGATTCCTCTTTTGCAAACTGGAAGGTTTCTGTGTGCCAAGCCAACTGGCAAGTAATAACATTGAGGGGCTATTGACACTTCTGAATTTTATCGGAGGCTAGGAGCATCTCTGGACTTGGTTTGAAAGGCTGCCCCGTCTATTATTTTTCTTAATCCACCACTAGAGGGATTTAGACCTTGCATCAGTTTCCCCTTCCATTTCTGGTGCAGCTGGGCATGGTTCTTCCTTGCTGCTCAGAGGATCAACTATGCCTCAGAGCATCTGTTCCTTGAAGTTGATATTGCTATCCTGTCTTAGCTGTTTGGACTCTGCAGTTGGCAAGGAAGCTATGGCCAAATCTAGATGGTAAATCCCAGTGCCCCTCCCTTTCCCCCCACCCTGCAGATATTACAGCATCAGAATACCTTTAGACCACAGCTCCTATCATCAGCAAAAAGGGGAAACCCCAGTGTCTTCTCTAGAGCTTCCCTGCTTCCTCCTTAGATAGAAACCAGTTTTTCCCCCTTTGCATTCTCTTTTTTCTTCCCATTTCTCATTTTGCATTCCCCACCACCTTCTCTTTACGGGAAATCAGGCGGGTTCTATTCCGTAATTTGATTAAATCAATATCCGAGGAGATCCATATCTCCCTGAACGTGGCTGATGCAAGGAAGACCAACTCCAGATACTGTAACTGCTGTGCAGGATTTCATTGGGGTAAAGATTTCTTTTCGAGGTAGTGATGGGCCCTGAAATTTCTGCTCGCTCGTTCCCAGCAATGTGCCTTTGCAAAGCCTTGTGAAATAATGTGACCCATCACCTCCCCACATGTTGAGTGTTCATCAGAGCGGTGCCAAACTGTGGCCAGAGGAGGGGGAGGGCGAGATGGGGTGGAATTGCTTGCAGCGAGTTCAGTGGGTTTAAAAATGTGATGTCAAATGTCCTCGGGCAAAGCAGTTTCATATGCTGACAGTGCACAGAAGAATTCAATTTACTGGGGAAAAGCCAGGTCTGGCTGTTCAGCAGAAGGGCAGAGGGGGATGAGCCATATGTCAGGCTCTGCAATGGGCACAGCTGGAACCAAAAGTGGGCGGGACTCTGTAAAAAATAAATGAAACATAAACTCCAGCCCTTGCAAAACATGCATGCTTGGTCGTGGGCTTTACAAGACTGTGCGATGATTCCGGATGCCTTCAGCACGTTAAATGTAGTGAAAAAGTACTAAACTTAGTGGTGCTGAGTTGGGGCGTAGGGAGGAGTTGGATGGTGATGGTGATGGTAGCAAGGTGCTTCAGATACATTCCCCCCCTCCCAAGAAAACGAGGATCTGGCTGTCTCTCCACATAGTCAACCGCCTGTGAGGTGTGACTTAGTCCAGTGAGTTTTGAATGTTTTCACTTGAAGGCTGGCCAAAGTGTTTAACTGCTGATGAAGCACTTGGGAGAGAGAACACTAGCTTGGGAACCACAGGAGCAGAGGCACATCATTTCAAGGGTAAACCGGGAAGTTCTTCCCTCTTTCTACTCCTCCACCATCTCAAGCACATTGGTGGCTGTTTCTGTGCTTACACAGTCTGTCCTGCCATACACCCAAGATGCTTGACTTGGTAACAGAGTTCAGCTCTTTTCGACATTCACAAAAGATCCTAATGCATGAGCTAACCAAAGAGGCTGGGTTTATACCCTAGGAATCCATGCCTAATGGTAATGATACTAACATGACAATACACACATTGTGATGTTGTGATGCAAGCTCCACCCTTTTGTACAGTACTTGCATTGCAACATTGCACTAAAGTCTATAAGGGACAATATTTGCATCACGATCTGCATTTTGTTTCTTGCTTTCCCCCCTCCCCAGGACCATTTATGGTTTACAGAATTACAGAATATACTCAGATCACCCTCCCACTCCAAAACTCAGCAGGTTAAAACTACTCTAGCTTGTTGCCTGGGTGTTCTTTCCCTGATGGGCTAACTGTGTTGTGCAAACCCCTTCAGAGACTTCTCCAACTAAATGCCAACAGTCTAGATAAAACTTCTCTTAACCTCCATGGCCATTTCAAACATTCAGGATTCTTAATGATAGGATACTGTTTCATCTGTTTTCCCTCTGAACCCTGTTGGCAGAGAGAACAAAGAAAACTCGCTCCTTCAATCTCTTTCTCCACCCCAGTTTCTAAAGAGGACTTAGAAAGATCCACATGTTCCCTAGAGCAAGGTGAACAATCAGCCAACCACTTCTCCATTCATG